AGGCCGGGGCGGGTTTCCAGGCTGGGGCCGATGCACCGGGCTGGCCAGGAGCACAGGGGGACAGGGCTGGAGCGCAGCCTGCCCGGGGGCTGGCCAGTGGTGCAGAGCCAGACAAAGCAGGAGTTACCGCTCCCCCCCTGAGGACCCCTTGGCTGCCCCCATGACACATGTTTGCCGCTGCCATAACCCCTCCACCTTGGGCTGTGCGGCGGTGAGAACCTATTTCTGCGGAGCCTCAGAGGCTGGGCAGACCCAGTCCTGTCCTTCTCTCGGCTGCTGCAGGCCAGGCCTGGCTCTCTGCTCAGCTGCAGCAGGGTCGTAGGGGGTCCCCCCACACGGGCTGCACAGATGCTGGAGCCACAACCGGAGAGCTGCCCAGAGCAGCTTGATGAGAATTCCCCACGGGCATGGCTGACAGCCCCAGCAGGCCGGGAAGCGCCTCAAGGGGGCCCGCTCAGTCAGTTAAGGTAAGGCAGGGCGCTGGGGAGCAGGCAGCAGGGAGCCAGCCTAGCCCTGGACAAGCTGGGAGTGGTGATGAGGGCTGCTTTGTTTCCTCACCATCCCCGCTCCCCCTCCTTTGGATTCTAACCTTGCAGTTTATCACTGAAGCCCTAACTCCTGTGTGGCTGGCTCAGTGCTCTCTCCAACACACCTGCGCTCTCTCTCACAGGTGGTAAATAATTAACCTGGGACTGACTAATCCAAAATTTCCCCGAACTACACAGCTGCTCCAGTAAAAGATATCACAGAAATTTCTTGCCTCTGGCCAACCAGAGCCCATGGGCAAGGATACAGAGGGCTTGCACTTGAACTGCACTCTTGGCTGCATGGCCCTGTAGTCCTGGTACTCCCTCCCCAGCCAGGAAAAGTGGGGGATGAAGCTGCATCAGGACTCAGGAGAACGCCTGCGCAGGCGGGGAGTATTGATTTCTACATTAGGAACTGGGACCACCCACATATCAGCCAAGGTCACCAGAGAGCAAATATTATTGTGAGGTCTTCCATTGCAGAGCCACAACATACTCAGCTCTTCTCCGGTGCTGAGGACCAGACATGAAGCTCAGAAGAGAGGCCCTGGGGCTTCTGCTATCTTGGGCTTGCTTGCTGAGTCTACCCATGTTTGCTTGGGGCTTCGCAGGCCATGGCACAGGCCCCATTTTCTTTGACCGCCCATTTGTTACCGTCTGGAATGCACCAACCGAGAACTGTGAAAAGAAATTTCATGTGTCCCTTGACTTGGGAATCTTTGATGTGGTACTGAACCGCAATGAGTCCTTTATGGGCAACAAGATGACCATCTTCTACAGCACCAAGCTTGGCCTCTATCCATATTACACCAAGGATGGGTTCCCAGTTAACGGGGGTGTCCCCTTCAACAGCAGCCTCCCGGCCCATCTCCAGAAGGCTGAGCAAGACATCAAGGCTGACATCTTGGATCCCAACTTTCGGGGCCTGGCAGTGATTGACTGGGAGAGCTGGCGCCCTTTGTGGGTTCGGAACTGGGACAGCCTGGACATCTATAAGAAGAAGTCCATAGCCCTTGTCCAAGAGCGCCATCCTGACTGGTCTCCCAAGAGGGTGGTAAAGAAAGCCGAACTGGTGTTTGAGAAAAGTGGCCGGGCCTTCATGGACCAAACCCTAGCACTGGGCGAATGCCTGAGGCCTGGTGGATTCTGGGGCTTCTATGGCTTCCCCTGCTGCTATAACAATGACTTCAAAAATGTCAACTACACAGGGGAATGCCCTGAGATTGAGCAGCAGAGGAATGACCAGCTGCAGTGGCTGTGGAACCAGAGCGGAGCGCTCTATCCCAGCATCTACTTGCCCAAGGAGCTGGAGGCATCAGGCAAGGTTCTGACATACGTCCGCCACCGCATTGGGGAGGCATTCAGGGTGCAGAAGTGGGTAACAGGTGGCAGTCTCCCTGTCATACCATATGCCCACATCTCGTATGAGCTCACAGATGACTTTCTTTCACAGGTGAGGCCCTCCCCACACTGTCCACATGCATCTTTGCCTCCCCATCTCTGCAGAGCCACCAGTAGTTGTCGTGTCCCAGATGATGTCTCCCAGCAGTCCCAGTCCTCTCTGCTTTCTCCAGGCTGGTTCTCTCATCTTAACAGCATGGGTCTTTAGCCTCCTCCCTGCAGCTTGCTCTCTGTTTATAGCAGTATAGAAAGCAGTAGACATCTTGGAGGACAAGGGAGAACAAAGAGGGAAGGATGATCCGGGGGGTCACAGCAAGAGCCATGGGCAGATCTAGGCATTCAAAAAGAGGTGTGTAGGAGATATTACTTCACTGCAGGGTCGGTTGCAACACCCCTGCTCCTACATGGCAGACGGTGCCATAGCAGCGGCTGTCAGGGACTTGAGTCACTAGCCCAGCATCATGCTTCTTTGCATGTTCTCTGACCCACCGCTCTCCAGGGCTGTGTCCTCACGGTGGCTGAGGCAGGGCAAGGGGGTTGCCAGGGGAATGACTGCTCCCACTGTGATGAGGGTTGCCAGGGGAACTGACTGCTCCATGTTGATCCAGATGAACAGGGATCCTGTATATCTGGATCCCAAGGAAGCTGTGTCCCTTCCAGCCCAGGTGTTAGTTGTCAAGGCTGCTTATTCTCTTTGCTTCAACATCTTGCAGGAAGACTTGGAAAACACTATTGGAGAGAGTGCTTCTCAAGGTGCTGCTGGGATTGTCCTGTGGGGGAGTGAGGATTATAGCAACTCCCGGGTGAGTTAAGGGGAGGATAAGGCTATTTCTAGGCCCAATGGGAATCCTGGTATGGCTGCACTGGGATGTGGGTGGCACTGCAATCAGAGGATTGGCTCTCTCAGGGTGTCCGGGCCCATGGATCCCATGTACTCAAAGTTGGGAGGGTGATCATGCCAATTCCAGAGATGGGCAGGTGGGGGTTTGCTGCAAGAAAGCACAGCAGGGGCATGGACCCCTCTGTTCCCCACACACTGTCCCATCTCAGCCTTTGCCATGATCCATTGCAGGAGTCCTGCCTGGCAGTGAAGAAGTTTGTGGATGGAATCCTGGGTCACTACATCATGAATGTGACCAGCAGCACTATTCTGTGCAGTGAGGCAGTTTGCTCCAGCCATGGGCGCTGTGTGCGGAGAGACACTCACCCTGAGGCTTATCTGCACCTCAGCCCTGCCAGCTTCACCATAGAGAGGGACCCCAAGGAGCACCGCTTCTTCCTGCTAGGACACAAGTCAGATGCTGATGAGGCCAAGATGATGGAAGAATTCATATGCCAATGCTATGAGGGCTGGGAAGGGGAATGGTGTGAAAACAAAGCCACTGCAGAATGACACCCCTAATAGAGAGCACCCATCCACATGGCCTACCGACTCCTATATTGTGTCCCCATGCACAGCCCCATTCCACAGATGCACTTGCCCCACATGACTCTGTATCCTCTCCCCAGGGGGCACACCCTAAACATGCACCCACTCCATATGGTCCTGGAAACCTTCCACTTGAATCTCTACTGTATACATATAGATATCCCACAGGCCCCATGCACCCTCTTCCAGAGGCATAGAACTCCCCAACACACACATGCACACGTACACATACACTCCACTTGGGGTGCAGTGCATCTTCCAAGTGGAGATTTTCACAAATGCCACATGCGTGGATCCACATGAGCACTCACATGAAGGGAATCTTGCCCCAACTCATTCATTTTGCTCACATAAAGATCATGTAGTGGAATTAAATGCATCTCCAGCATGTCTACAATGTCCAGAGATTTATGTTTCACCCCCAGAAATACAAACCAACTCAGTTTGCAGGTCAGGCATTATATACTGACATGTAAAAAGCACGTACTAGTGCTAAAGCGCTTCATCGTAATGTAAAAGAAGACACAGTGCTTCACTGGAAAAAAATCTTAATTCAACAGTGAAGGAAAATCACATGCTTTAATTGTGCCAGTAATTCTTGTACCAGCTGGATGATCCAATTTGCATGTACAGCAATAAACAAAATGTTCTTTGCAAGGCTAACCAACCCTTCTAGTCATATGGTTTTTGCCTGGTTGTACAAAGTTTGTAACAGGCTTGGTTTTTATATGGCTTGGGCACAGAGTACACACATGCCAGTAGGCTGCCAATTAACTCATTTTTCCCATGATGCTGTTAAATCTGGTTTCTAGAAATGACTGGATGGAGGGTGGCATTTGACACACAGCCTGAAGGACACATAGGCGGCATCTGACGTACAGGCTGAAGGGCAGCTGAGGAATTAACTCAGCCTTTGTCTGCACTAGGAAGTGTTAGTGGCAGCTGTTTTGCTAGCATCAGGACAGGCTGTCCACATTTGGCTGCATTTCCTAGTGCAACCCACCCTGACAGTGACAGATAGTATTAGCAAAGGATGGTATGGAGATAAGTATTTCACTGTCCCTTCTGCTGCATTGCCTGGTGGGAAACTTTTGCAGTGTACTGTGAGCAGGATATTTATTGTGGGATACACTGCCTCCTTCCACAAATTCCTACATTCCATCCCATAATACACTCATTTCCCATCTTGCCTGATATACAGATGCTGTATTGACTGGTTAAGGCCAAGGCAAAGCATTCTTTGGGATGTATAGAACTGCAGTGACCAAGCACATGGCAGGGTACTGAGAAGGAGGGCATGAGAGAGAAAAAGAAAGCAGGTGATTAGCTGTTGTGGGAATTCATGAAGTAACTACCAAAGGTGTAAGCGGCAGTTCTGGATGTGTGTTGTAGGAATCACCTACAACCTGCATGAAGCAAACTTCAAGAAAACTCCTTGAGTAGATGCTGGGCCATATTGCCCAAAGGTTTTTCCTGAGGACTGGCAGCTGAGGCTGTGTCTAGTTACCACCCAGTGTTTTGTATGTGAATGTGTGTGAGAGAGAGCAGCCAGAGCAGCACCAGAAAGCTAGAGAAGCAGTGGTGAGTGTGGCCTTTAGAGGAAGCCAAGAGACAAGAGTTTCTTTCGGACAATGAACTCCCTAGATAGCCAGATCTGGATTTCTGAACAAGGAAACTGCCTGCTGTTGTTGGTTTCTACTGTGCTGAGAGAAACAGGGCTTGGGGATCTAGTCTTTGTAAACAAACAGAATTACACCAGAGAAATACCTGACTATCATCAGCTCGGCATGAATATCATTGTATCAACAATTTCTTCAGCTCACTGAAAGAACTGCAGGAGAAGAGTATTGTTGAGATGGGAATCCAGTAAGGGTGGTCGTTCCTAAAGGAAGCGATCCTTTGGGCACAGAGGGAGACTATCCCAGTACGAGGGGAAAGGAGCCAAAAAACTTCCTTGGCTAAACAGGGAATCCAGGGGAGCCTAAGGGCAAAAAAGGCATATAGGTGGTGGAAGCAGGGGGAAGCTACCAAGGAGGAGTATACCTACTTGGCCTGCACTTGCAGGGAGGCAGTTAGAAAGGCCAAAGCAACTACAGAGCTGAGGCTGGCAACACAAAGACAACAAAAAGTCTTTTTTTAAGTACGTAGGGAGTAAAAGGAAGGCACAGGGCAGCACAGGATCCCTACAGAACAAGGAGGAGCAATTAGTGGCAGAGAGGGGGGACAAGGCTGAGCTATTCATGTAGTTTTTTGCCTCTGTGTTCCTGAACAGGGCTCAAGATAAATCTCCTAATGGGTTCTTAGGTGGGCATCAGAGGGACACCAGCCCACCAGCTGTTGATGCTGACTTGGCGCAGAGTCACTTGGATGGACTGGATGTGTTTAAGTCAGCAGGCCTGAATGAGCTGCATCCGAGGGTACTGAACGAAATGGCTGGTGTTATAGCAGAACCACTGGCACGGCTGTTTGAGCGCTCGTGGTGCTCGGGTCAGGTTCCGGAGGACTGTAATCATAGAATCATATCATGGAATCACAGAAGTAGGGTCGGACGGGACCTTGTAGATCTTGAAGTCCGACCCCCTGCCTGGGCAGGAGGAAAGCTGGGCTCAAATGACCCCAGTCAGGTAGGCATCAAGCCGCTTCTTAAAGACCCCCAGGGTAGGAGCCAGCACCACTTCCCTTGGAAGTTGATTCCAGATCCTAGCCGCCCTAACTGTGAAGTAGTTCTTACAAATGTCTAATCTAAACCTACTCTCCAACAATTTGTGGCCGTTATTCCTTGTTATCCCGGGGGGTGCTAGGAGAAACAAGGTCTCCCCCAAACCCTTCTGGTCCCCCCTTGTGAGTTTATAGATGGTCACCAGGTCCCACCTCAGCCTTCTCTTGTGAAGGCTGAACAGGTTCAGGTCCCGTAGCCTTTCATTGTAGGGTCTGCCCTGCTGTCCCCAGATCACACGGGTGGCCCTCCTCTGGACCCTCTCAATGTTGTCCACATCCCTCTTGAAGTGGGGTGCCCAGAACTGGACACAGTACTCCAGCTGCGGCCTGACCAGTGTCGCGTAGAGGGGGAGGATCACCTCCTTAGCCCTACTCGAGATGCACCTGTGGATGCACGATGAGGTCCGGTTAGCCCTGCCGACCGTGACCTCACATTGTCGGCCCACGTTCATCTTGGAGTCAGTGATGACTCCAAGATCCCTTTCTGCCTCTGTGCTCTCAAGAAGGGAGTTTCCCATCTTATAAGTGTGCTGCTGGTTACTACTGCCCAAGTGCAGCACCCTGCATTTGTCCGTATTGAAACGCATCCTGTTTTTGTTAGCCCACCCTTGCAACCTATCCAGGTCTTTCTGCAGTCTTTCCCTCCCTACTAGCATGCCCACCT